TTAAAACTTTTTTTTAGTTATATTTATATTATTATATATTTCAATATTAGTTAATTTTGCAATTTTCGGCTAGACAATATTTGCCCATCTTTAAATACATAATGTGGCTGTCAATTATAAATTGAATTACAAGCTTTACATTAAAAAATTGGAACCAATATAATTTCTTTAAACTGAAATTTACCTTTTTCTAGTTAAAAATTGCACACAAAAACAAAGTAAAGCATGAATGTTTACATAAATTTATATATAGAAAAAATACCAAATCAAATGAGCGATCTGTTATGTAATACATAAAACTTATTATCTGAAATAAAAGATTCAATTTTTAAAGTATTCATTATGGACTGTCGCCAATAACATAGTGCTTAAAAAAAAAAAAACAAAAACAGATACACCTTTCACTGTCGCACCGTGTAATTAGCTATTTTTAGAAAATGTCTTCAAGCGGGTCAAAAATACGCAAAACAATGATCATCCGGCTGTAGCACACGGTCTGTCAGCAACCAAACTGCTCCCTCTATGCCAAAGAAAATTTGTTTAATGTTCTTTGAAGTGAAGTAAACGATCTCATTGTCTTCTGCAGTTAAGTTGCGATGGTAGTCGCAACGCACAATTGCACCAAACTTAGGCACTGCATAGAAGAGTGCTCCCGTACGGCTATCTACCATCATTCCCTTGCTGGGGCCCAACAAGCTGCCTAGCAGCTCTAGCTCAATAGTATTCGATTTGTCGTTCACCTCCACCACCTCTTCATGTTGCGTTTGCTGTTCGGTGAATTCTTTTGCGATTTTATTTGAATTTAGTTTGAGAGCGTTATTCAACTTCTTCTTCAGTTGTGAATTTGGTGTTGCATATAACTTGCCATCCGCATCGGCGAAAAGTAGTTCACGTTGCTGACCGAATGCGATGTCAATTGGTTTAATTGGAAATGGTGTCTCGATGATGCCTTGGAACTTCCGACTATTTAGCGCGCGTCGCTGCCACTTCTGTTCAATTATGTCGTAGGCGAGTATGTGTGCGTCATCTGGACGTAGAAAGTAGACATATTTTTCAACCTTGCAAAGTTCAGGAGGGGGACCCAATTTGATAACCAAATTTTCTGCATCCTTTGGTGTTAAGTAGCGACCGCAATCAATTCGCAATACCTGTGTAGGACGAGCCAAAAATTAATTACATTAAGTTTAATTTATATTACCTTAAACCAGGTTCAAAATCTCGTCATTCGATATCGAACGTAACTCGAATCATTGTTGGGCAAGTTTTCAATTGTAAGGACAATTAATTGTTAATTGTGATATTCTGCAGTTAACATTTAACAAATTTTTAATTGGTTGCCGTATTTTTTATTTTATTTGTAAGCAGGTTAATTGTTATCAAAAAAGTAATTGCAATTAAATTAATTGCCGTGTGCAATTAAAAGTTTGAATGCAATTAATTTGATTGCATTTATTTTCTTAATCAATTAACAAGATGATTGACAAATTAATTGATTAACGCCCAACACTGACTCGAATCGAAATTTGATGGTAAGATAACAGCATTCGATAGCGAGTGCAATTTGCATTGTGGATAAAACAACTGTCACTTTGTAATCTCTCGTTTACGAATACCGCGATTCAGGCCCAGGTTACGAGGCTAAAATACTCAATTTTCACACGATTGGATTTTAGTATTAGCTCCAGAAAAGCTAATATTCATGTACATAGTTAAAGACCAATGACCACAGCGAAATATTTATGTTATGTGACAACATCACGACGAACACGACAAATTAGAGGAGAAGCTAGCTACGAAATGTAAACATTATTTAAAAACTACAACTTCTGGTTCCCATACAATGGCCATAGACAGGCTAGGCTCTTCGGTTAGAACGGTTATTATTCAATTAAAAATGTTTTATCCAAGAGTCAGAATGCTGGCTCCGTCTTGAGGACGAGGAAACTTCCGAACACATTCTTTGTGTCATATATATGTATATAATAGTCAACCCCTTAGTAATAAGGATTTCGACTACGAAAACGCCTTAGGATTAATTAGGGAAGCGAGGCTGTCTTGGACATACTGGGTTAGGAACTCTCTTTAAAGCAGTGTTGCTCAGAGAGAGCTTCTTGTTTTAAGCATCACTGCTTTAAAGGTACAAAAGACCTTTCAGGTCGCAGTGTCCCTTATTCTGACATACCCGTGCTTTTATTTGTCTATCTGTCTTACACCCTTTTCAGTTTGCTTTTAAAAAAGCTCGGTGTGCTTTCTTGGAGATCGAGAGAACTTTCGAACAGCAATCATTGGCTCTAATCCAATAGTTTTCGTGTAAAATCCTGTAAAAATGTCAAACAGCAAAATTACTCTCCGAAATGAGCGTAAAAAGTGAGTAACAACAAAAAGTACAGGAACAAATAAAAAGCAATTTTCTTGTAAAAACGTCAACCAGTGATCGATTGACACCTTTTATGCTTTTACCAGAAGAAAAAGTTCGGGTAAAATCTTGCGACTTCATTCTGTACACAACTCTCTGAAAATCGTTCTCATTTACAGGATTACCTGTAAGTTCATGTAGTACTGGATCAGAGCTATTTTGTGGTCTCAATTGATTTTTTCTCTCTTAATTTCTGAGCAGATAAACTTTGAACGCACTAAAGTGTAGGAGCAGCAGCATGTTAGAACTGTCAGGGAAATTGGGCATTGATTCGTAGGAAAATATTTTAATCGAATTTCCTACGTTCTCACAACATTTTTGTTGTTTGAAAAATAATCACTTAATTAAGGCCAAATATTTGTTTTTTTGTTGTGTCAAATTTCTTTTAAAACAAAATCTAAAAATTAAAAGAAAATGAAATTAAAAAAGAAAAAAAAGTTAAAAAATTAAATTAAATGAGATCCTAAAAATTAAAAGAAATTAAAAATATATATTTCTTTTTAAAATAACGAAATCTAAAACCCAAAAGAAAAATAAATTGAAAAAATAAGAAATAATAAAAAAATAGAAAAAATAATAATAAAAAGATAGAAAAAAATAAAAAGTGTTTATAATTAATCAACTTAAAAAAATACATTCTTCTTTTAATACAATAAGTTCATACAAAAAAATAAAAAAGTAAAGTAAACTAAGTTCCTAAAAATTGTTTTACATTGAAAAATATAATTTTTTTTAAGATAATGAAATCTAATAATTAATAGAAAGTTATATTAAAAAAATATACATATATGTATATGTATATACATTAGGGCGGGTACATTTTTTTTCGACATCGTTCCTAGCAGATTCGGCTTGTACATAAAATTCTAAGAAAAAAGTCCTTTAGACCAGAGCTGCTCACTCCATAAGCACTTGTAGCACATTTGTTTTTGTTTTACCCTGAAGTATAGGCACATATACAAATTTACACTTTAAATATAAAAAAAAAATTCTCGCCCTCCCGTATTCATTATACATATATATATATATGTATATATCAGATATACTGAGCTCCCATATGTCCTGGCATATAAACACAATTCATACGAAAGTGCGTTAGTTTCATATGGAAGGGCAAAGCAAACGTCCTCACATATGAAACTCAGGCACTCCAGTAAAATGTACAAATTTACACAAACAATTATAGAATGAAAAAATAATAAAAAATATGTTCGCCCCAAGGTACATTGAACAGGTAGTATCAGTAGAGCAGCTGATTTGATTTATTTTCAAATTATTTGGTCTCGAAAATGTCAAATATTTTTAATTTTTTCTTACAAAAATTCTGAATTGTTAAAATCCATTTGCACGTGAAACCTTTTTCCATACAAAACAAGCGATTGAATAGCAGCTTTTGGAACGTTCGCCCAACTCAGCAGCACGACCGCTGATTACTGGGCCTTGCAAAGGATGGATCAATGCTTCGAGAAGCAAACAAATTTACTAGGAAAGAAAGTTGCATCAATTTTTATTTTTTCCAATTTCAATTTTTTATTTTTTATAATTTTTTGTATTTCACATGGCACGCTTTGATTTAGAAGAAAAAATTCAGAACAGTTTTTGACACTTTCGATACCAGAAGCAACAACAAAATACACGCAAATGTTGTTTTTGCTCTACTGATACTACCTGTTTAATGTGCCTTGGTACGCCCTAAAAAAAATTTGTATTATAAATTGATTTAATATTCGTGTATACTGAAAGTGAACACGAAATTTATTAAAAAACAAAACACATGGCGTTCATTAAAGTGTGGAAGCGCGAGATTTTTTTGCAAAGGTTTTCAGAGCAAAGCATATAGTGTATGTTGTGCTTTGTAATTATTAAACGAATGACGGGATATTACTTGCAACGCCATTTTTGTAACTTCCCGCAAAAACTTTTTGGAAAACTTCAAAGGGGATATAGAAAATGATTGATTTCCAATCTAAATTCAATATATGGGTGCATCACCTCACGTAATGTTGATAGGATTGCAGACATTTTTATAACGTCGGATTCCAGAAAAAGAGATTTCGCGATTTTGAGGGAAAATATCAACAAATGACCGGCAAACTTCGCGCAAGAAAAAAAAAGAAATTATAAATTATAGTTGGAGAAACTCCAAACCCTCATTAAATTTTATTGCATATTGCTTCAATGGTGCTATCATTTATTAACGCTTTAACGTGGAACATTTATAAGCGAGCAGTGTCCCAAGGAAAATGTTAAATTTGTGCTTGCAATATGATGTAAATATGTGCAAGGATTCCTTCCGCTAAATTTTGGAACTTTTCAGCCACTAGGTCGCTATCATTTCTTAACGCACTGTATTATTCCACATATATGTACTGTAATACTCCCATTGTTAACAAGTTTCATTCACTAATCGTACAATAAAAAAATTAACTTGTACTTTTTGCTTCATTTAAATAAATAAAAAAAATCTCAGTGTACACATAAATTTTCTACATAGATGTGTTGTGATTTCACTTCAATATAAAAGTTTTGAGCAGCCCTGCTTTATTATTATTGCACAAACTTATACGTACATACATACATATGTAGTATGTACATATGTATGTCGTTGGAGGCGTTTTTAAAAAGCTCCTTCAATTATAAATCCCCCCTCTCTCTCTCACTCACCTCAGCATCGTTCCGAATTAAGTCATAAACCAACAACTTTGGTGGACACATATTCGCGTTTTCCGACTCCATTTCCTCCCATCCGGCATCCAACACCCACAGTCGCCCCAAATTATCCACTTGCGTCCAAATAGCCTTCTGTATTAAATCACAATCACTTCTGTTACCATTAGCGTGCGCATATATGTGTGGATAAATCGTACTTTGTAGCGGCACATATCTTTCAGGCCATTTGGTTGCGATCAACGTCGGAAATAGTTCGCTATCGACGCTAATACAAAGGAATACACGCAAATAATGCAGCGAAAGATGGCGCACGCGATAGGATTCAGTCAGGCCAGTCTGTGCTAAGTGCCAGGCTATGCTCGTATGGATTTGTGACGCCATTATCGTAACACCAATCAGAGTGATAATTATAGTGGAATATGCAAGTTTGCTATTTATTTGTGTTGATGACATTTTCGTGTTCCGTAGATTTGAAGGTGGTAACGTCCGAATGGTTTATGGAGAGCTTTTCAGCTCTTTACGTTAGAAGGGAGTTTGCAACTAAATGCAATTGAATTGACCTCCACACTGTCGGGCTGTGGCTCAAAATATTTCGCTTCATGCACGTTCTAAGCGCTGTGTGAGTGAGCTGAGCTGCTTTGTTTTCAATCGTTTATGAAAAAGTGGAAATTGGTATTCGATTGCAAGTGTCCAAAATTATGCTGAGCTCGGCAAAGGTATTCTATATCAAATGGTCAATTGCTTGGTTCGCGGCAAACCGGCGCAACAATGCTTGTGAGTGAGTTGTGCAATGCCAACGCTTGCCGCTAGCAAAAAAAAATTCAGTGAATACATATCGCTCATTTAATAAAAGACTGTCGCAAGTCAAAAACACATAATTTTTGAGTTATCTGGTCTATCACTGCATTCATCGTAGTCCGTGAAATTTACCAATCTGAATTGTAACGAACAAATGTACCTATAATATTTACATATATGCTATGAAAAAGGCGGCCGCTGTGGTGTAGTGGGTAGCAGTGCGCGCTACCATTCCGCAGGGTCTGGGTTCAAACGCGGTTCAACCCAACATCAAAAAATAAAAAACAAAAAATAAATGTTTTTTCTAAAGCGGTCGCCCCTCGGCAGGCAATAGCAAACCTCTGCGTGTATTTCTGCCTTGAAAAACCACTTGTCATAAAAACGCAATGTGACAACATCAATGCGCACGCCACAAATCGGAGGAGAAGCTCCTGTTGGGGGAAAAACCGTGAAGTTTTATGTAAAGTTAAATCTCGGAAGGCACCGTTTCACAAAGTTAATGCGCAGACGATCTTCTTGTTCTATTACCCTGAGTTGAGTGTGGAAGAGTGTATAAGCTTCTTGTCATCTACATTGGCCCCTGAGAAGAGTCTTGATTACAATGTGTAGGGGAGGGGAAGGTCAAGAAGCATCTCGACATCCGCGGTTGGTGTTGTTCTCATCGCGCCAGTGATGCCCAGGCAGGCCAGTTTATGTAGCCTACTGAGCCTGGACTGCGTGGACTTCACTTCCACCAGACGGGTTCAGCAGTAAGAATGGGTTTGGAGATGGCATTATACATTATCCTTGCCAGTTTAGGTCTGATGACCTGCTTCCATCCCATTAGTTTCCAGCAGGTCAAAAGAGCTTGTCATCAAGCATAACTCCTAGATATATGACCCCTTTGGAGAAGTTCATCATTTCTCCTTGAAATAATGGTTCTGGTAATTTTTCCCTTTTCCTGGAGAAAATGACTATGCTAGTCTCCTTGGGGTTTGTTACTGCACCAATTGGCGACTATGTTCATAGCATTCTGTAGGAAGTTGGGGATAGTGTCTTCGAACCTACCTCACATTAGGAAGACAGTGTCATCTGCATACGCCCTGAACGACGAAGCCATTTTAACTAAGAAGGCAGAGTAGTTCGTCTTCTATGATCGATCGTAGCAGAAGGGAGATCACTCCCTGCTGGGGGCAACTTTCCGTTGCTAAGAATTTGACTCTTTTCTGTCCATCAACCCGTTTCCGCCGGACGCAAAGGTCTATTAGCGAGTGTTCCGTGTTATCGAAAGCGCCCTCCAAGTCCACGTCCGTCACCTCCTCGACCTTCGATTTGCCTTGTTAGACATCGAAGAGCGTGAATTGTAGATCTTTCCGGAAGATAGGCAAATTGGTATCTATGCAAAGGGTTCCCGGTAAAGAAACTATCACTGGTATGCTTTTCTAGGATGCTTTTCAATGTTTTAAGTAGAAAATACATTCGAATAATGGGTCGGTATAACTTTGGTTGATCTGCTGGTTTTTCCCCCAACTTTGGGTTGTAGCGGACCGTCACTTCCTGTAGTGGAAGGGACCTCCACACAAAACATGCTCTGAAAAAGGGTAGCAAGCCGAGTGAAGTGTAAGGTGCTGGTAAGACATTATTACGTGCTCCTATTTCCTACGGGGTTCGTACATATACATATATGTATATACATATGTATGCACGTACATAATTTTCCCTGTGATAACTGAATGTGTCATCATAGCCAGCTTTTGCTTGTTTGTTTATCACCTCGCAGCGAACGCGGTAATTAAATCTTATCGGTTAACCTTTTTGTAGCCAAAATTTGTTACTTATACATATCGTGTCTAGGGACGCAATACCTCGCATACACCAGATTAAATACCATATGAATGCCCTGATTGCCAAATCGATTAACTCCAATTTTTGACACATCTTAAATTTAAGTTTAAAGCATTTGGTTTAGTCATAAGTTATTATATTTATAATAACTTTACACAATATTCATACAGATAATATTTATAATAATATCATAAATGGAATTTTAACACATTGGCTGCCAAGTGAATTTGGCGAAAAAATCGTCACCGGTGCCCAAGCAGTTTTTTATATAGTTAAAATTTACCTCAGAGTTTTTATCATAAAACAGACAAAAACCATCATGAGCTATGAAAATTGAGCCAAAAATGAATTGAGAATAAGTAGCAGACTATTCTGAAAATATAAAAAATTTCAGTGGAGTGTCGCACGAAAGCGAATGACAAGGTCGAATGTAAAACAAACCCTGCCGTACGCTTTCCTGCGACGTGCCACGTGGTAGTCAAAGTGTTAAAAAATATCGTACATTATTTAATCGCATCTCTCAACTTTTTGTTAATGGAGTTACCCGTTTTGGCAAGTGAAGCACTCATATATAAGACATTATTTACTTTTAACTTTATGGAGTAGGCTGCTATTGAGTCGAATTAATACTTGTCGTATGCGAGGTATTGCGTGCCAAACGTCGATATATGCGCAGAAATAATATTTTTCATAATTTTCTTTCTAACTAGAGGTTATAAGTAGTAGAGAAGTAAAAACAAATAGGGTTGAGCTGAAGGCATATGCAACAGGCATATGCAACAGAGCCCAATAGAGGAATAACAACATTTACCAGTATTTTGTTGTTGCATAGCTTCTAAACCGTCAAAAAATATCATAGTGGACTACGTGAAATATAAACAAAAATTTAAACTAAAAAATGTCGTTGTAAATTTGTTTGCACTAACTCATTCTTTGCAATGGACTATGATCAGCGTTTGTCCTCCTGAGTATAGCGAACGTTCCAAAGATTGGTTTTCAATCGCTTTTTTTGAAGTTGCCATGCAAATACGTTTTGAAAATTAAGAATTTTTGAGAAAAAAGTTACAATGTTTGACAGAAACAAAATACTACTACTTGTTCAACATGCCTTGGGTTGAACCGTACACCGATCGTAGTAGATTTGCTCTTTAGAATTCTGCGCTAATTTGCTTAACATGAAATTTGCTTTTAAAATAAAATAAGGAAATGATGTAACTTCAATCTTTGCTCTTGCTACGTAAGAGTTAAAGAGGTTCTATAAATTGTTTATGGATCTCCGCAAGGGTTAAGCTTTTGCAATAAAAGCAAAATATCACAAACTGTATACACAAATGATGCCTAAAATTGTCAAATGATTAATAAGCCTTCTTTCCAACCATACACTTCCTTTCAGAGTGAAGTTATCTATGAAATTGGAAGCTAAAATTCAATATCAGTTCAAATATTTTCTGACGTATCCACATACAAACGGTGTTTGTTCTGTATTGAGGTGTAATTGGTAACAACACAAAATTCACCCGCCAGTTACTGTTCACGATTGCTAACAAAATAACGTGTTTGCGCGTTTCTCATACGAAAAAAATTAGCACAGTTATAACCTCGTTAATCATCGACACCTACATACATAAGTATTTATTATCAACGAACGAACCTATTAGAAAAATAATAATATTTTTAGTGCTTCACTCAAACACTGAGGATAACAGTCTGCCTTTTAGAAGAAATTAAATAACTTAGAGTGAGCTAATTGTCGAAAACAAAACAAAATCAGTCAAGATGTGCGGCGCTTTGTGGGAGTGTATCAAATGTCCCGGAAAGGTTGTGTGTTGGTAAGCAAAATAGAATTTAAATCAAAGAAATCGTTATACATATACAAGCATGCATATTTTACATACCAACCCTGTAAACCATTTTTTTCAGAGTATTCTGAATTGTAGAGAAATTTTTGAGGAATCCGTGAAGATCTCAACCGATTTTTTGTCGAATTTTCGAAAAAGAAATAAACTGTGCACACTTCGATCCTTTTACGAAATTTCGGAAGAAAATCGGTAAAGAAATCAAAATAATGCTGCTATGTGAAGAATTTCTTGCAGAATTTTTCAGAATTTTCCTTATTTTTCGTACATAAATTTCTTTACGAGTTCGTGTCAACCACTTCATATAATTTTCTTTGAATATTCGTAAAATGCAATCTTTAGCTTAAAATAAAATTTGAAAACTATTTCCAAACTAAAATTAGGTTTACTGCAAATTATAGGGAGCGACAGAGTCATCCAAATAATATCAGAATTTTAATAAACCTAAGCAGATAGAGAAATAAAATTTTTATACTTACATATTGTCGCTTGGCGCGCAATGCCTCCTACACGTCAAATGCAATACCAAGAATAACGTAGTCTGTAAATTAAAAAAAAAAAAAACAAAAAAAAACGTATTTTCTTCAAAACATTTAAATGGATTTCGAACTGAACTTACCAAGTGTGAGCTTCTACTAGTCAACAATTGAGATGGGCTAACCAAAATTAATTGTTTTCTGTGCCAGCTCATACGTGGTATTGCATTTGACGGATACGAGGTATTGCGCGCCAAGCGACGATATGTGCGGTCTACTCTCCATTTAAAGAACCGTATGGCCAAAATATATGCAAGTACATCTCTGTGTTCATATGGAATAGTAGCTTATGCCGAAAGGCTGGCTTTCGTATAATGCGGCATTCGCAGCATACGATTGCGAGCCGTTGAAGAACTTTTGGAAAATAAACTCTCTCTAGCCCATAGTTACAGTGATTCGATAGAAAACGCTTTTATAAAAGGAAAAAATTTAGTCTATCTACATATGTACATATGTACATACATATGTGGGTGATTCACTACAAATTGTAATTTTTCCAAATCTAAAATTTTAAAATTAGTTGAAAATTGTTGTCGGACCTTTTACTACAACCCTTATCTAGTGTTCCCAGGCAATTGTGCATTTACTGTACTCTGCTGCCACAGCACTGACTTTAAAAGTCGAAAATAATACGTACATATGTATATCTATTAATTTTAATGAAGACGACTTGTATTTTCATGTATAAAATACTTTTATTTATTCAACGACATTAAAATTAGTAGTGTTCTACTCCGAGTTACCACCAAGTGAAGAAAAGGTGGTTAAATAAAAATTCAATTCATTCATTCATTCATTCATTCATTCATTCATTAGTAGTGTTCTACTCCGAGTTACCACCAAGTGAAGAAAAGGTGGTTAAATAAAAATTCAATTCATTCATTCATTCATTCATTCATTCATTCATTAGTAGTGTTCTACTCCGAGTTACCACCAAGTGAAGAAAAGGTGGTTAAATAAAAATTCAATTCATTCACATTTTATTCGGTGGGTCTAAATTTCAGACATTAACCTAACAGCGCGCCGAACCTGAACTATTAAACATCTGTTAATTCAAGATTCACCGGAATCGTCACTCTACAATATTCAATAGCGCGTGACGTCTTGGAAAACGAAAAATGGCGACGGTACAACGAAATTAAAATGTCTCTAATATATGTATGTTTAATATAACTAGGGGGCAAGACTTTAAAGGCTACTCCGTAAAGTAATTGCCATAAAAATAAAAAATTAACTGCATAATCGGACGAGAATGACGGCGGAAATGCTACAATTTACGATAAGGACATGCCTTGGTATTGACATTTTGACTAGTTTTTTAATCTTGAATCGAATGTAGGGTGACCAGATGAGAGAACAAGTTCCCTCTCCCCTCCACGACAAGACACACAATCGCATCTTTGTAGTTCATGGTTATTAAAAAAGCCGAAATTCGAGATTTTTCAAGCGTTTGTTAAACATTCTGCTTTTGAGCGTAGTATTAAGTATTTGACAATAATGATCACAACATAAACAATAAATTTAATAAGTACCTTCGCTTCTATTTTACTGTATATCTACTACACAATGACACTTCCGAAATAAGGTTAGGATGGCTACTTATCTATACAATCTCCGTTCGACGTCCCCAGTGTGAACTAGCGCATACTTACGCGGGAACCTTAGAGTACAACTCCACAACAAGCTTTTCAGGCGTTCGTCGCTTTTCAGGAAGCACTCCATTCAGCTATGAGTTGACTAATACAGCTCGAGGCCGCAACGCCTAAAAAACCTGCTATGGAGCTTCAGCTTTAACTTCTATATAAGTGTTTCCATGATGACGGACGTTACATTCGTACGACTTTCGAGTCAAGTATGAAGTCACTTACAAAAAAAAAAAGTTGCCATTGTCTAGCATTTATACCGTCCTTTGGTTGACAAAAAATTAGGTGCGCTTGGAACTCGAGAAAATTTATGAAAAAGAGGTCATAACGGACGCGACTAAAACAGAAGCGGTTTCAGAGTACATGTAAAAATCTGAATACCAAATTTAAAGCTATAAAGCCGTTTGAGCCCTATGTTATTATCGGGCGCCTAAAATGTTTGTAAAAATCAGGACACTAGGCGGGAAGAGAAAAATCAGTCAGGACACTTTAATTCGACCCTGAAATCAGGACATATCTTGATAAATCAGGACGTCTGGTCACCCTAATCGAATGTGCTCTGCATTACTAATTTTTGTAAATGAAGTATGTATGTATGTACATACATATATAGATTACTGCCATCTTTATTGATATTGTGAAAAATTTTAGCATTTTATCATCATTGCGCGATAATAGATAGGCTGAGCAAGAATAGGACAGTTTGTAGAGAATCATCCATAGCTAAGGTAAGGGATTTAGCAACAAAATTCAAAATACCATTGTTTGCAACTTATGTTTAGTTATTTGTTTTTAATAATTTTAATTTAAAATATACATAATTCAATCTATATAAACAGAAACCATATATCGCACACGGTCTTCAAAAGTGACACAACTCAAAGAATGGCATTCTTGAAATTATGCGCTAAAAATGTACGCAGAGCTTTTATTTACCTTTCAGCAAAAGCTGGAGCAAATTTTTTTTATAATTTGTTGAAAAAACCTAAGGTAAAGTCTTCCTTGCAAATATGATTAGCAAGTGCTAAGAAATAATTTTTCGTATTTTCTTATGAACGTGTCATTTTGAGTTGTGTTTGAAGATGGTATGCGATATGTAAATAAATACAAGTTTCAATAATTTCATAAATTTCACAAAAATTAATCAATCTTCAAAAAATTGTCATCAAATTTTTAAACAGAATCTTTAGGGTATGCAGTCAAATTTCAGTCTGATAAAGTGCAATTTACAAGCAGGGTTGGGCACGCTGCACTGAGCATACCATTATCACCAATCGTGTAATGGTAGTGAAATTGGAAATGCATTTGCACTAAGTGCATAGTGGTAGTGAAATTTGCAATGCACTATCACTGCAGCCCTAGTAGTAATGAAAATCTCGATTTAGTGCAGCGTGCCCATCCCGGTTTACAAATTTCCGATATTTTCTTATTTTTCGTAATTTTTCTTCAAAACGAGCATTCTCCCTATAAATGAAACTTCTCCGACGCTCTGATTTTTGAGGAAAAATAATTCAAGTGACTCTTTGTATAGTCAACAAAGTACAGAATATGGTTGTCACTTCTTTAATTTTGAGGCTAGACACTTTAATAGCCGCTTTCACGAAACTTAATAGTAGAAGTGAAATTTATATTTATTTTTTGTTTAATCCCTCATTTATGTACATAAGCTTTACTGGAACACGTGATAAAAGTTTAGTTTTTAAAATTTGTTTTCCGTGTTTTTTCTTGCGCTCAAATCAGTGATAAACACCTTTAACAAAGCTACAAATAATCACATTGAAATAAAGACTAAATCGAAAGGAAAAACTTAAAATAATTTTTTATTCAAATTACTTTCGTGAAACCGGCTATTAAGTTTTAGTTTCATTTACTCCCGTTTTAATTATTAATATAAAAGACCAGCAAAACTAATAAAGCTCACCAGCTACTCTAATAAAGAATGTACATTAGGGTGGTCCAAAAATGCATGTGAAAAGGTAAAATCTGAATTTGAATGCTCTCACCCCTTAGGATTGTTTTATACCGAAAAAACTATACCCCCGTTTTTTTTTCTTTCAAAGTTGTCCATGTATTTTATAAGGGGGAAAACAAGTTTTCAAGAATGGTATAAAATTCTCGAATATCAATATTTTTCGATCGGAAAACTTGTTTATTATACCAGTTTTTAGTACTGGCGAGTTTTTGTGGGTCCCCTCATTGAAATTTTCGAGATTTTTAGGGATTCTTTAAACAATGGTTTTCCCATATAAAATATACACATGGAAAACTTTTAGCGCTTTCAGCGCCCTGTAAATATTAAAATAAAACAGGGGTATAATTTTTTCGGTATAGAATAATCTTAGGGGTGACAGCATTCAATTTCCGACTTTATGGTTTATGGACCGCCCTAATGTATATGCAGCCTAATTAGTGTAGCTTTTACTAAGTGGCTCATGATCATGCCTAACTGTAATTGACTATCAAATGGGATAGGTCGATAATTATTTTAGTTAAGTTAAGGGTCAGAGACCCGTCCTTTTCAATGTTAATGTAAACTTCTCATGAAACCTAAAATACGTATGAATATTCAACATATCTGATTTACGAGTGCTTTGCCACTCCTATGTATGTATGTAAATATGGCTAGTAAATATTATGACCAAGTACTCTTAGATATATGTATATGGTATTCGCATTATAAAGTGTAATTTGCTTTGAAATACTCACAACTGAGATACTTAGAGAACAATTTACACATACACATACAATATGTATGGATGTACTGAATTAAATCACTAAAAGACGATAAGGCATTTTTCCAATATGGCCGAGTCTAATGAACGGTATCAATTCTTTGATAAGAAAATTTTTATAAATCGAATAATCGACGAGGCACTTATGTATTCCCTTTATGAAGGTATGTACACATCGTCGTTTAAAGTACAAAACCGCGTATCGTCGTTCTGCAAAACCGCGTAACTGACATTTTTTGCCAAAAATTCGATTTGCTCACCGAAGTCTTGGCTCAAGCATTATCCATTCGCCCGGAAATATACTAGCCAGAAATGCGATTGCTTTATAAAAGAGAGAACAATTTTGAAATATGAGTGTTTCTGCTCTCTACAAAATAATGTATGGTTTTTTTTTACTTTAAACGGCGATATGTATGTATGTAAATATATGTTCATATATGTATAGTAGTCTATTAGGTACTCGTTACTTATAATATACCAATAGGTGGCTTAACTAGTAAGACAATTTAAAAGTTTATAACCAATATGACTAAGCAAGCCTTTTTCTCTTGTTAGTAACCTATGTTTTGAATTGCATTGGTTCGAGTCGACATACGCCATTACTTAACCCTACTGTCGATGTGGAAAACTTACTACAGCCAGTATTGGTAATGAAGAAATGTGACACGACTGGTATCGGCACTGTGCTGAATATGGCTTAACGACGAAACCGGTTTGTCTCCAAACCAAACTTGACCAGGGATTATGGAAATTCGTTCCAAAATTAAACCTTTTCCCCTCCTGTCGAAAAAATCGATCAACATTAGCATGTCGAAAAACAACCTTTCTAAAGCACATGCCTCCTGTTGTCTATTTTTCGCTTTTTACTGCCTATTTTTCTTACTTTTTTTCCTGTACCTCCTGTATTTGTAAAATCTGCTCCTTTAAAATGTTTAACGCACATCAAGGCATTTCGCTGCAGCTCTGCCCCACAGCTGCTTTCGCAACGCTCCTTACGAGAAGGACATTGAGGCTTGTTAAACAAATTAGTGGTATCTGCTTTATATTTAACACCACATAAAAAACAACGTTTCGGGTGCTGTATTTTTAACACTTACACTAAGTATAAACCGCACAACACTACAAAAATTCAAATGTTAATTAAAATTTGTTATTAACGAACATTAAAAAAAAAACAACGATATGACATTCAAAGCTTAACGAAATATAGGAAATAAAATAAAATCAAGTTGAAGTTTAAAGGTTTGGTTCTCATGAGAGCAACGTCATTTTGGCTTCTACCCGTATTTATGTGCCTTGGTTTTATATTGCCTACATCCTAAAAATCCATACCCTGGTAATTATTTTGCCTTCCTTAATTATACAATTAAATTTGCAATTATGCTCCATCATAATACGTAAATGTGTACTTAAAATGCTTTTAATTTACAAAACTTTTTCTCTTTACAGCTGCTGCAAATGCGCCCTGAATATGTTTCTCGGCGTTTTTTGTTCGGTCATTGTATTAGCTGTTATTATCGGCCTGATCGTTTACTTCACTGTGTATTACCACAAGGATAGTTCCAGTAACAATCAAGAAAAGCTAGTAAGACAAGTGATCACTGCTGCCCCGCTAACATTTAAGGAGTACTTCCAGCAACAAAATTAAATACACATACATACATATCTAATACTTAGACTAACACGGAGTTGAGGCATTTTCAATTATTTACTTAGGTTAAGCAATGAGTATTATTGTGTTATAATTATTTATGTGGTTGATTTTTTTTTTTTTTTTTTAATACTGATTTTATAGTTCTAATGGCAAAATTTAACTATTTTTAATGTTATTTAGTTTAAGTGAATTTTGTGTTATTTGCAACGACAATTAAAATTTTATTATAGTATACGTCGGTGATACTGCAAAACATGCTATGTTACTTATTACCTTTGGTGCTTAATTGATCTTTTATCTGTATCTGATCGCTTTTGGCAATCGTTCATCTTCATCAGCCAAAGGTATACAGTTTTGTCATTCGTTTATTAGGGTGTAACGATTTGCAGATGCATTCCTGTACAAGTAAGAGACCATCTAAGTGTCAAGGGTACTTATAGACATTGAACGTTTTGCAGTATCACCGACGATATGTACATACGTAATGTACATGGCGTTGTGTAATTCGAAATTCATGGAAAGAAAGTAAATAAAAATTNACAAGTAAGAGACCATCTAAGTGTCAAGGGTACTTATAGACATTGAACGTTTTGCAGTATCACCGACGATATGTACATACGTAATGTACATGGCGTTGTGTAATTCGAAATTCATGGAAAGAAAGTAAATAAAAATTGTATTTTGAAGTATTAAAAAACGTCA